TCTATCTATCTGCTAAGAGACAGGCAGTGACACTGCATTCATTTATAGTTATCTGACCATTACCTGGATTTTACTTTTTTCTGTAAGAATGAAAAGGAGGAAGAAAGAAGATGGCAATACCAAGAGGTAAAGAAAAAGAAATTTAAGTTCTCATTCACACGAACAGGAGACAAAACCAAAAAGCTGAAGCAATGGAAGAGCTGAGTAACTTGTGAATTGGGCTCACTTTGCCCCTTTCAAGTTAGGAGGAGCCACACTTCAGTATTTCTTTTATAAGGACAAGATTTTGTCTTGCCAATTCCTAGGCCTAGCATGAATGACACAGCCAGCAGGAAGATGAACCAGTAAGTGGACTGTATTGAATATAGAAAAGTCATTCCATGAGCAGTCGCCGGGGGTTCAAAGAATTCAATTAGTTCACACGCAATCAACATTACCCCCAACGATATTACCTGAGCAACAATAGGCGGAACAAATAAGGAACTGAGGTTTCCCATAGAAGGAATGGGAAACAGCCAGGTCAACAGGACAATCGCATAGGATAAAGGTGGCCACGTGGCCATCTCCCACTCTCCTAGCCCACGTTTACAAAGGTCCAAGCTGACTGGGGCCTGTTGTGGTGTGCCTCCCAGAGGCAGAGATTTCTATTACCTCTTTGTTCCCAAACATGGGCATACATCCAGAATTTTCCATCTTTCCCAGGTTGTGGTTGGCTTAGCCTTTTTTAAACCCACCTACCGACCCATTAAAAACCTGTGGCCCCAAGGCCACATGCGCTTTCGCTTCTCCCCCTGAGGTGCTGTTCTGTCAATGACCAGGTCCAACAGAAACGATACAGCCAGCAGGAAGATGAACCAATACACAGACTGTATTGTAGACAAAAAGGACATTCCATGAATGATCGCTGGGGGTACAAACAAGTCAATCAGCTGGTACATAATTGATGCTACCCCCAACGATCTCACAAAAGACATGACTCAGCCCACAACAGGTGGTACGAACAGAGACCTGAGGTTTCCCATAGCTGGCATAGGAAACAGCCAAACCAGCAAGTTAATCACATAAGAAAAAGGTGCCAACGTGGCTACTCTCACCCGATCAGCCCGCAAAGTCTAAACGAACTGGGGCCCAGCTCCAGGGAGAGTCAGGAGGTCTGCCCTGAACCAGGAAGCTCTGTGGAGTGCACTCCACAGACAGAC